TTTCCAAGTTGCTTTCCACAGCTGAAAACTCCAAATTTATACCAAGGCTTCTTGCATAGTCCTCAAGCTCATCTCCAATAATTTGCAATTTCTCGATATTCTGTCCAACAGCAGTGATCCTAAGGCGGCGTGGGGGCTGTCCAGGGCGATTAACAAGACTCTGAACAAGACGCCGCCATTGATGACCATGAGGCAAACCAAGGCTCATTCCCAAATCAACCACATGAATGAAACTCTCTCCCTCAAAGGCTTCCAATATCAAGCAATTAGCCACAAAATGACCAAACTGAATATGTGGACATATCTCATAAAGCAGCCTCAAAGCTTCTTCTTTCTTCTCCAAGGCAATGTCTGTCTTATTCATAGCAGGGGTAGCAACATAACCAACCGTGCCAAGCGGCTGCACCAGAGCCAGCCTATCAGACAACCCCTGCATGAAACAGGACGCTACACGCTGGAAAGACGTCCCAAATACCAATGCACTAGCACGTAGCTCCGATAACAACACCGATGCACGAGACTTATCTCTACAAGCCACAGCTTCAGCACAAGTAATTAAAAGCTGTACTAACTTCATACCTTCCCCATTTTCCTCCTCCTGATTAATTATATCAGCTGCTGCCTCTTCAAAAGCCTCAGCAGCAAGATACCTTTGGTTCAACGCCCAAACATGATCGCGAAAATGAATCCCTGGTTGCAATGACAAGCTATTCACACTATTACTACTACCAATTCTCGGTAAACTGCCACCAGTGCTGCTGCTTTCAGTACTATAAAAAGTGGTATTGCTTCCAAAAGACTCACCAAGACTTGGGGTTCTCCTTAACCTCTTAAAACTCGCACTGTCATTAGATAAAGATGAAATGATCATGTTATTAGTAGGAGCATTTCTCTTCAAAACAGATGTGTAAGGATTAAGAGAATAAGACAGTTCTTTGTGATGAGTAAGATACAGGCTATTTTCCATAGGGTCATAACCAATTTGATCACCATTACAAGGCTCAAGTGATAGAAAAACATTAGCCATATCATGAATCATTCTTATTCTTCTCTTTATTAATTCAAGAAACTAAAGCTGCTTGAAAGAAAGACTAAACAGGTGAAGTGGGGTTTCATATATACTAGTTTTCATGGGCGTTGTTTCTTGTGTCGATTGATAATTTCGATAAATTTTGTCCAAATGCTATTGGATGTTATGTAATAGTAATAACTAATTTAACTACTACTTAAGAAAGGACTTGACAGAGAGAGTTTGTCTGTGAAAAGAAATAGTATTAAATTAAACATAGAGCTCCCATGGCCTTGGACTTTAAAATCTGGTTCTTTAGCCTGATTTGGTGACTCTACAGTCTACATTCTAAGTTCATGACGCAAACTGAACCTTAACCATCATCTTTTAAAATAACCAGAAATTAGTTCCCTGTGACCCGACATAAGTTTGGAATCAAGAGAGCACAGGTCCCTCTTCAACGGAGTGGCGGAGTCAGAAATTTTATTTTACCATGCTCTAAATTCCATGAGTGGATTTGGAGAATGGGGAGGTTAGTATGTTCGCAGATCTAGTACCTACCATCGAGAACATATAGACAAGATGGAAAGAAAGATGACAACAAAATAGCACAATCAAAGTAAAACTACTCAATCATATTATATGTTTACGATTTCAAAGCGTGATAGTTAGAATTTCACAATTTTTTTATTCATTTCGCAGCTAGGGTCCGATAGCTTTCTTGAGATGTATTTCAAAGTGGATATTCGTGGTTGTAAACATAATAAAATAAAATAAAAATTTACTAACCTATAACTACGAATACCCACTCTGAAATTCAACGACGAAAAAAATTGTAAAACTCTAGCCGCGAAATGAGGCAGAAGGGGTAATCGTTTGGAAAATAATGAAATGAGGGAAAAAAGAGTAGATAAGATTTAGGGATATAGTCTATGTGGCAGTGAAACCCTATCGATGTGCAGTGTGTCATCCACATGACATTTGATAACTTTCGTTAATAAGAAGGATACTTTGACCCAATAGTTTGATCGAAAGAGTAATTTTGAGTTTAAATATAGTTTAGGAGTAAATATTAGCTATTTCGGACAGTTTAAGGATAATTTTGACCATTTTTCTTTTATTCTAAGGGGCAGTTGACCTTATTAGCGTGCAATGTGACATCCACATAACATTGAACAACTTCCGATAATAAGGACACTTTGACTTAATTGTTTGAAGGGAAGGGTAGCTTTAAGCTGAAATATAGTTTAAGAATAAATATGAGTTATTTCACATAGTTTAAGAATATTTTTGACCCTTTTTTGTCCAGAAAAAAAATAAAAATAGGCGACCATCCAAAAAAAAGTTTGATTAATTACACTTCATTAAAAAATGTAACATGTTGGTTAAAATGTATTATCAGTACAAAAATTATTTGTGTTTATGATTTAAATCCATTTTGTTTAGAAAATGATTTTTCCTGTTCTATGATATTCTATGTTCGTGACATTATTTTAAAATTAACAAAGATACCAAACAAAAACCAGAATTTTGGTAGTCCACTATAATTGTATTTTATGAAAGCTATGCTAACTTTTTAATATTTGAAGTTTACGTACATCGGAAGAGAACTATATACTTCTAAAAAATATTTCACTCTGCTCAACTTGCTTAAAAACAAGGTCAAATATCTAAGAACGTAAATTGAGATAGAATCAATCCACAAAACCGTGAAAAAAATAGAGGAATTAAGTCAATTTATTAAATTTGTTCACCTTAATTTTGATCCACGATTTTTGACCTTGTTTTTAGTAGTGGAAATTTGAAAAGTGAAAAAATAATAGTAACTCCAAACAACCAAAGCTAGTATAGTGGAGCAATTTTTGGGTTTAAACATCAAGTATTAAAATATTACCTTTTGCAACCAAATCTTATATGCTCTTTGCTATTTTTTTTATTTTTTTAGAGAATTGTACATTTAAATATATTTTATTTATATTAGATATATATTTAAACGGCACAAGATTAATATTGTTGCTCTCATTAAGAAGCTTCCAAGGTTGTGAATATTGATAACAAATAGAACAAGGTAAAAATAGCCAAAAAGTGGAACATGTCAACTCCATTGTTTTACTTTTAATCGTCATGATAATAACTACTCCTATGGTTTCTTTTTCTTTTTATTAAAACAAAGAAAAAAAAAGTCAAAAACCTATTCTAAGTCGATTAAGGTACTCGTCTTTCACTTTTACTTGACATATCTATCGAGAAATAATAATTGTATGATTATTTTACCATTAGTTTGTACCCCCTCCGTTCAACTATTTTAGGATGTCCAACAATACTTGTCCATTTTATGAAATCAATGGATAATTTTATACTTAGTTCCTAATTTGCCATTATCAGAAATCGTTGTCATTATTCAAGATATTGAATTTGTAAAGGGTGATATAGTAAAATAACGTTTTTATTTATAGTTTCTTAAGAAGTGTGCAAAGTCAATAGTGGATAAGTACTGTTGGACATACACAACATTAAGTTTTGAAAAATAATTTAAGAAGTAAGTTATTAACGCTAAGGAAAAAAATTTGTCTTTTCTTCATATGTTAAAAGTGACAAATGAAAATGAAAATCTATTTTTTGAAAATAACGGTAAAAGTAAATCGAAGAAGTAGTTAAAAAGTGAGGATTTATATTATCAAATCTATATTAGATATCTTCAGAACCCATAATTAACGTTGAAGAGTGAATTCCAAAGTTAGTAGAACCAAATATTATTAAACGTTGACAATTAATTATATATTTAATTTAATTATTAGTGTAACATCAGCCGGCTAACATGTGAAAAACTAAGTGCGTAATTGATTTGATTTGTAAAAAATAAAATAATACATAATATTCTTAATTCTTACTATGTGAACGTCATAAAAAAAAAGAAGAAGCATCTTAGCAGTTTTATGGCCTTTTATGAGTGGATTATTATCAATAATCACAATATACATCGGCATAGCATATGCTAATCATGTATTTAAGGGAAACAAGAATACATATTTGCAAATATAAATAAAAATGAATTCCCTTTTTTAACATATTTTCTCAAAAAAACTTCGTCTGATTTAAAAAGAATAACCTACTTTGATGTTTAATCCGTTTAAAAAAAACAATTCCTTACCTTTCTGACGGTATTTTATCAATGACACATTCAAGGCTACAAGATTAAATTTTTTTTGATATATTTACTGTAACTTTAATTTAAAACTATAAAAATTAATAATTAAAGGGAATAGAAGGTTCTTTCCTTGTACTCACTAAATTAAGTAGTACACAACATTGGCCAATCTAGGAAAACTTGCACTTTTTTCTGACAAAGGCTGTATTAATTTACTATTAATTGGCACTATCAGTTTCCCATGCAAACTTGAATTAATTAATTATATTACGTTTCCATTTTATGGGAAATTTTTTGTACCAAAGTGATCTATTGATTTTGACTTAATAATTTTTAATTTGAGTTCACGTCAGTCCATACTTATCGTCATGCTTAGAAAGAAAGACGAGAAACCTAACAAGTATAAATTGATGGCAACTAACATGTCTTTTAAATTGCTGAAGTCAAATGTTAGCTTTGTGTATGCAACAATTTTTGGTTTTAACTAAGGGTATCCCGACCAGCTTTCACCTACCTCCACTAATACCAATTATGGTTAGATGCAATAAGCACACTCTTTTGAGTGTTATTGCAACGGGGTTGAACCGTTCGGTTTTTCTAGTCTAACCAGAGAAGTCACCAGATGTTCAAAGGAGCAAGTGTAGTGTATAAAGGAAAGAAAAAAAAATCCAATAAGGTAGGTGAAGTCTAGAGAGGATAAAGTGTAGGCAGACCTTACCCTTACGGCCCTACCCTTACCTCGTGGAGGTAGAAAGATTGTTAACTGAAAGACCCTCAGCTTGAGTAACACATATCAAAGTAGATTTAAAAGGAGAAAACAGAAGTCTAAAGGAAAGAAAAACATTAAAGCAAACTCAATATTTCAGAAAATCTCATCTTCCAATCCCAGCAGATTCGCGCTGATACAAGCAAAATCATTGTTCAAGCACTAAAACTAAGATGCATGAGCAAGACATGCTAATGGTTATTTGTTCATTGTAGAAAATGAATTTGGAGAAACACAAAACCCTTTCTCCTATTGCTCACCTGCCGGCGAAGTTTCTTTCCCCTTCAATCACAAGCCCAGTTTGTTCAAGTTAAGTATCCAACTTTGAGGTCCCAAAAGAAAATCAAGACACAACCTAACAACTGCTGGAAATAAGACTAGTGCTGGTATTCAATGTTTTCTTGAGCATGACTAACTGCTTGTAGTCAATGTTATTGACAATACTTCCTTTCTATGCCAATACAACTCGCGAAAGGAAAATTTTAATAATTGAATTATTTATAACAAAGGATGGAGCTAAGGGCATCAATTTGAATATGACAAATTACACAAGTTACCATGTTTTCAGGTAGGCTCATACTGATCATTTCCCTACACCAAACACTTGTCTCCAAAATCTTCTTCTAGAAGTTCCACGTCTATGTATTTGCTTCAGATCTTTAGCTGCAAGTAATGAGCAAATCAGAGGACTAATTACCAAAAATCATACCATCGGATTAAAGAAAAATGGTCTACTTGGTAAACGAAGAAACTGCAGAGTGCAGACATAAATCGCAATATGCAGCAGAGCATCTCGAGCAGGGAACCTAAAAATAAACTATAAATTTAACATTAACTAATTATTGGGGACAGACAGACCGGTTATGTCCACTCCTTTTCCAGGCCCACAAAGTCTAACGACCAAAACAGGGAAAGCCCTTTGGTATGGATTAGTCATGTTCGAAAGAGATATTGCTATAAGGGAACTCTAAAGATACCTGTAAGTCTTCCTGCAACATACAGAACTTCTTCAGCAATGGGTCTCCACTGCTCAGCACATGAAAAATTAATTCCCAGACCAACACTAAGTCCTCTCAGGATGTGCACTGTACGGAGAATAGAAAACAATTCCTCTGGAAAAGCCTATCATCAAAACAAACAATTTTCAGAATTGTTTTACAGTATATGCATATTTTATTCGCCAACTGGTTCAACTGGCAACTGTTATCACCATGTGAATGAAGGAAAACCAATGTTGTTAACTGCCAATATAGTATTGTTTCCAAGGGTGGGGACTTATGGTTAAACAATAGGAAATCTACTGAAGATTTACTAGGTGAAAGACATTATCTGTGGTTTTGGAGTATCACAAGTAAAATTATAGACTGGGATCTTGACTGCAGCAATTTTAAAATTTATCAAGCAAAGAAAAACACTCTTAAGAGGTTGAAGGACGAAATACTCAGCACAGATCAGGGCGGCATCAATATATCTTGAGTATGTGAGATCGAGAAAAGCAAGTGAACTCTATATTCTTTTCAGACCATTGTGAATTCCTATAACATGAGGAATACATCATTGGTGTATACCACCAAGTCACGTATGCTTAAGGGATACCCAGACAACATTACATCATTTAAGGCAATGTAAGAAGTAATACAAGAGTATGAGCTTTAGGATTCTTTCTTCACGCAAGTTTCTCATGGATTGATAAGAAATGGGAAGTCGAAATGGTTGAAGCCCTATGAAATTTGGCAGAAATATGTATCAGAAAAGGAATTAGCCATTTTATCACTCTCATACTATTTTCAGGAAATATTAAGATAAATTGGCACACGATGAATACATGGCTGATAACTTAAAAAAAGTATTTGATGCTGCACGCAAGTATCAACCTTCATCTCTAAATTATCTACTTCTAAAGTTCTATTTCCAGGATAGTGCTCAGCACAAGGATCCATTTGTTCATAAAATTGGGATAAGGAAGATATCAAATCCAAGGAATCCTTGGATTTGAAGAAGCGCGTTTAATTATTCCAATGAATACTAAGCAAGTTTTAGTAAATCGTGGACTTTTGAACCATAGTTCTTTTGCTGCACAAACAATCTATGGAACTGTTATATTCTAAATCACTGCATTGGAATCCTGTACCACAAGCATCCTCCATATACAACTCCAAATTTCTAAATGCAACAAAATGACTCCCCCACCTCCCCAACCCAAAAGAAACAGAGAAGCAACAAAAAAAGAAAGGACACAAAACATTACGTACAAATCAGGTATTTAGGTTCTAATAGTAACTTGAGTAACAAGATGTCATCCGTTCAATTTGCTCAATTAGTAGACCCAGCTCTCAGTGTAGCTATATACTTGTTACCTAAGGAGCTTAAAGACATACCTTAACAGCAATCTTTTTTATTGAAGATTCTTCTGCGAAAGGTTGCAGCATCGTAACTCCAGGCGGTAATTTTGTGTCAAACATTGTTTGTGCCAGCCTAAGCAATTCATTTTGTTCATCCTCGCATTTGCTCAAGGTCTCGATACCAAGATCCCTGGGATATAAAGAGTACATATTACCAAGTACAACAATAAAATCGGCTAGATTGCTGCAAGTCTGCAGTTCTGTCGTTTACGCATTAGATCAGATTGAACCGAGTCATAAAGAGTACAGTTACAAAAAAATCAACCACTAGTTCTAGTTGAATGGTCATGAGTCTGAATTATGTCAAAGGGATATATATATTTTTTGATGAAGTAAGATATTTCATAGTGGGATTTCACTAGGTATGCTGTTGAAGATAGATGTTTCATAGATGGCATCGAGATGTTCCATAGATGCAAAGATACAAAAATAGCCAATATAACTGTAAGTTCCATTACAAAATGTTCCATTCCGACCAGGGAGCTAATGAAAAGAAGCAAAAACATGGCTCAAGTTAAAGAAACTAAGAAAGTGAATTGATAAAATCTAGATATGAACCAACATTATGAACAGGGGTTAGGTTGCTCCAACTAACTAGGTACAGTAGAAGGTGTTTCTAATGATAGATGATTCACAATCATAGTTGCAATGCGCATGAATACATTTTCTCTTAACCAAAATATGACCAGGTTTGCCATCTTATAGTTAATAAAATGATATGTAGCAGTACTTTTCTAGTCTCTTATCCTAGATTTCTATTACTACTTGTTATTTCCTGTGCTTCAGTTATCCCATTATTTGGTTGTTGTTGTTCCTTGTTTGCTAAAGCCTATGTAATGATTTTCCTATTATTTGATGTGTCGACTTTGCTTCTTTATTTTCCTTTCCAAACTGCTTTGATATGCATTACTTGAGCTGAGGGTCTTCTGGAAACAGCCTCTCTACCTCCATGAGGTAAGTGGGTACAGCCTACTTACACTCTCCCTTCCCTCCCCAGACCCCACCTGTGGATTGAAGTGGGTATGTTTTTACTGCTGCTGTCACTGATGCATAACAACTGTCAAAGAACCATGCTGGATTTACAGACACCACACAAATTTTCTATTGCTGTGAAAGTAGAAAGAGGAAATATATATAATTACACATATTTATTTACAGGAAGAGCTTTCAGGGTAAATTACTGCACCTGTAGCTCTCTGATGCCTTTAATGGGTCGTTATCGGCAATTGCAAGAACCAACCTAGCATATCCAAGCCTCAGTTCATCAGGTAGATCCTTCACTTGCCCATAATCAAGCAATGCAACCTGAAAGGGATAATGTAAATAACAATCTCCGTGGTATATTAATTGCGAGAATGATGATTTGTTAATGCTTAATTTAGGTATTCCAATGCGCACTTGCCTCAGAGCCTTTACAGATCAGAATGTTTCCTGGATGAGGATCTGCATGGAAGAAACCACTCTTGAGTATCATTTGTCCATAAGCAAGTGACAGATTTTTAAGGATATTCCTGCATTTTCAGAATGAAAAAAGGGACCTTCACTACAACATTTTCAGAAAAGAGAACATACAGAAGTTCTACATGGATTCAAATATATACAGACATGAAAAATGACCACTTCAAGGGGAACAGAGGCGGAAAACTTTCTATACATCACGGAAAGGATCTATGCATGAAACAAGCAGGCAAGTTCAGAACAGCATGTTTTATGATAATTCAGGGAGTTACTGTTTTGCAGCTGCCGCTAACTTGCCATCAGGATGTATGCCTCTCTTTTCCATTTCATCTCCAAGCTTCAAAATGGGTATGCCGTCAATGTATTCCATCACTAGAACCCTCCTAGTAGAAGCATGAAGAAAGTGATTGCTCAGGTATAAGGGGTAGAAGTAGATTCTTGGACTAAACATACAACACAAAATGTAACCTTAAGTGGTGGATTACATAACTTTGAGTTTCAAGCTGGATCTAATTCTGCAACAGATAGGCCAAGCACAAGCTTTTTTTACTGATTCTTTCAAAAGTATTTCATGTCATCACTCCACCTATCCTTTACTATTTGCTAACTATTACCCTTTATGTAGAACTGTTGGAATATCAGGCCAAATTAATGAATTGGACATAAGGAATTTGGGTTCATTTGTTAAAGGCCCAGCTGATGAAAACAATACGTGTACATAGGAATATTCTCTTTTACAAGTTTGTTTTAAGTTTGTTAGAACCTAGCCTATAGTATAGGGACACCTGTACAGAATATAGCTGTTATTTTGTCTTTTCTACTTGTACAAATGGAATGAAGCACTGATCAATAAAAAAGACACAGAAAAATTTCCCACATCTCTGCTCATTTACAACAAGAACCAATCTTGTGCAAACACCCTGCATCCGCTCCCATATAATCTGATATGTTGAAGACATACTTAAGCAACTAAAGTGTGCTCTCTTGACAACTTAAGATTTTAGATAAGAGGTCATACATTTCACACAGAATCTCCATGCTCTTGGCATGAAAGATTTAATTGACTTCGTGATACCTATCCTTATATATGAAAGATACTAAAATACATATCCACATTATCCAATCAATACTTATCAAATATGCTTTCTAAAAGAAAAACATCATTCCACTTGTAAGACTCTTCATATTTGGTTAAATTACCCCGAAGCAAACTTATCTGAAGAATATATAACATGAAGAACAATATAGAATGACTAAGGCTAGGGAAAAGAGACTTGATAGGCAATCATTCAAATGAACTGATCCCACTAGAAAAAACTTGCAACAGCGATGTTGAACCAAGCTTACATTCAAGTCCCATTGCATGTGGGCTTTAGTAGACTACACAAGTATCACCTGTATGAGGGTTAATTCCATGAATAGGTTGTTTATTTTTTTGACAAGGTCATGAAGAGGCTGTGAAAAGAATATTCGTTTCAGGAAAAATCAGGATAGTAGAAATATGATAACAATCCACGACTCATGCAAACAAAGATTTGATTGTCTTGCAGAGTAAAATGAAATACATATACCCAGTATCAGGAAGACTATAAAGCTTATATTAAAGCTTGTATGGAACAAACAGCAAATTACAAAGTGATCCAAATGCATCAAAAACTGTGTCACAAATAAAACTATAGAAGTGTATCCAGAAAGAACTGAAGAAAAGCCTTATGTAAGGATTTGAATGTACATACTACAGAATGAGTATTACAGTGGAGAAACTATTTGACTTTTGTGCAACACTTAGTCAAGTCATAACAAAGATAAACACTTATCAGTTAAAGAAAAAGTCTTAATAAAGCTAAGCACATTAATAGAAACACAAGGTAATTGAAATCACCAAAATAGGAGCTAAAGCTACTAGTCTCATCTTAGTTCACTATGCAACTCAGATAAAGCAATTTTTCTTCACCTGAGCATACCTGCTGACCATGTCTCGTATCACACAAGGTACCCGAACAGGGGACCTTTTGTTGTTCTGGCAAAGGAAATGCCGAATTCTTGCCATAGCTTCAGCTTCCCTCACAAAGTCGAATTCGTAGCTAATCTTGAATGAACAAGTTTACACCAGATTACTTCAGAGATGCAAAAGTTCAAAAAATTCGATCTACAAGACTCTCTCAATCAAGTAATAATATTCAGGCGGGTGGAAGTCAACTAACTGCATGCAAATACCAACAGATTCAACTGGTGCATATTTGCTGATCTTGAAATATTTAGAGTCTCACGGACATACAATAGTCCCACATCAAACATCAGAGTCCAGAGAAGTCAAGTATCAGTTAAAAAGTAAAACCGAACAAATCAAAGATTGTATATCATCTCCTAAGTAATACTCCTATCCTTTTTGCACAGAGTAAAACTCAAAAATAGTATTTCATAGGGAAAGGAAACAACAATGGAAGCCTTACAAGAAATTAGAAACTGCTCCCAAGAGAATTGCAAAATACGAATGTGAAGCAAAAAGAAACAAGGAGGCTAAGGAATTCTGTCACAGGACAAAAATGTGGATGTGGGATTGGGAATCACTCAGCATGCACAATTAAGTTCAAGATCCATAGTTAATACTAACATTAAAAATATTAGCCAATTCAACTTATGGAAGAAAAAAAACATGTATTATGTGGTACAAAAACTATGCTTTCATCTTTCAACAATGAAAATCTGATGAGCATTGACATAGATTGAATGGGATAATAAATTGATTGCTCTCATAGGCACATAAGAACTAGAATAGACTGATTTAACGACTGATAGAAAAATGAGCATGAAAGTGTAAGGTGTACTAGGTCAACAGACAATCAAATTAGAAAACTGGAGTTCACAAATATTTTGCTTCAAGCAGTTGAGATACGGCATAACATTCTCTGGAAGAACTTTAATTATAGCATTACAGAGCATCACCCATAACACAAACAGACTTGTTTAAGTCCAAAGGATCTGACATAATCATTGTGAAAGATCAAGAGTCATTCCCAGTTTTATTTTCCTTACCTTTTCTGGAAGCAAAAAATTATATAGGTGCTCCACGGGGAGAACCTCAGCATATAGCAAACATAAAAGCAAGAAAAGGTCGAATAGGAATAAGGATATGAAAAAGGAAAGAAAATGAAATGTCTAATAGTACAAGACATTGCAAATTTATGAATGTTTTGCACCTGTTTCTCCATTTCCTTGGTAACAGAGAACAGATCAAACTTGACATCTGTCTTTTGAATATATAACGCAAAGGCTTGCAAGTTGCGGATATCAGTCATCATCAATTCCTGAACTCCAGGATGTTGGACCTATAGTTTTACAACAATTAGAACCTCGTAATTACACCATTATTGCAAAATGACACTCAAATTCTTACCTTGACGACAACATCATTCTTGTCACCTTTGAGTCTTGCTCGATGAACCTGAAAAAGGCATACATAAAGATTAAAGAAAACTTAGGCAGCAAGTCTTAAACTAAATAAATGACAATGTAATGTTTTAGATTTGAACATGAATTAAATACTATAATTAAATCCATAAATTTCCTTTTTATCAGTTTGAGCTTAAAGAAATAAAAACTACTCAAATGGGACGCTTAATAGGTCACATAACCAGTTTTCCCATTTTTACATTCTATGATTTCCCATCTTTTCTTGCAAAAAAAAAGTGACTTTGAGCATTCTATAATTTAGCAAGAACGAGAGAGAGAGTAGAAAAGTAGATACCTGAGCAATTGAAGCAGAGCCTAGTGGATCCTTGTCAAAATATTCAAACAATTCATCAATACTTTGACCGAACTCCTTCTCAAGCACTACCCTAATCACATTGTATGGTGTAGCTGGTGCTTGATCACATAGAGTAACAAGCCTTTTGACCCATGGAGCGGGCGCCAAGTCTGGCTTCCCAACTATTTGGGCAACCTAACATCATTAATCATCATCCAAAAACTGAATATTTCCTCAGCAATAAGTGGTAATGCTATGATACAAAAAAAATCAAAAAAATAACTAAATAAAAATTAAAACAAAGCAGTTTGATAAAAACGTCAAGTGATTTAAAACCAAAATAACGCGTAACTCCTGAAGCACAAGGGATGACAATCATGTGATTTCCTCAATAGGATAGGAGCGCCCCCAATATTAGTACTCCCTGTCTTTCAATTTGTTTGTGTTACTTTACTTATTAGTCAGTTTCCAAAAGAATGTTTTTTTCTCTTTTTGGCAACTCTTATTACTCCAACTTTGCACCTGACATGGTTATCTTTAATTTAAAACCACAAAATTTAAATGGTTTCTTTACTTTCTAAATTACTTGCCAAAGTCAAGACCATACAAACAAATTGAAACCAGAGATTGAATACTTGTTAAACCAAATCTGTAATAAATAACAAAATGAAACCAAATCCATTATAGACAAACAGAAGTACCTTTAGGAAAAACCCACCAAGCTCAGAACACATGCTATATATCTTGTCAGCAGCAACCTCGTGCTGCTTCTCCCACATCATCTCCTGTTTCTTCACATCCTTCTCCAGACTTGCTCTTACCTGAAATACCTACAAAAGAACCCCAAACATAAATTTAATCAAACTACTCAATAGAGAGTGAATATAGCGTGAAAGAGGAAAAAGGGGTTACTTTATAACCAGTATAAATATCAGCCGCGCGAACCCAGAACTGAAAAGACCGTTGCCAAGGTCGGAACTGAGTAGAGACCTTTTCTTGAAACTCTTTGAGATCAAAATGGAATAGCATGTCGATATTACTCCACTTGATACCAAAGACTCAATTTTTTTCTGCTAACTGATTAATAATTGCAAATGGGTGTCTGAAAAGATGAATTTTTAGGCATTTGTATTGCTCAAAAGTTCTCAATTACTTGCATCATTTGGCTTGGAGCTTAATTTGTATCTCTCTAATGGCTAATTTGGAAAATGGGGTTGGTAGACTGATGAGTAGTTCTATGTATAGACTGAAGATCGATGAAAATAGAAAGAATTTGCAAGAACGTGACGAAAATGTTCACAGAGTTAGCGCCGCAGAATTCGAGAAATGAGGTCACCGAAGGTGCAAACTGCAAAGCCACAAATATATTTTTGCAGTGGAAATTTAATATTTGACTTTAATGTCTCTCTTCTTTAGAAAAAGAAAATTATTTAAGATATTTAATTATATTTTGTATGAAATAAAAATTACCAAAACAAATAAATTAAAATAAAAAAAATATTTTTATATTTACTTTTCATCCTCCAAATAATATATTCTACTAATATCAAGTTAAAATGAAACAAAAAATTAAAACGAAGGACCTATCTTTTACAATTATAAAAAGTATATCCAAACCCATTATATTATTACCAAAAAAAGCTTATTTTATATTTGTATTTGTCCTTTCATCATCAAAGAGATACCTTGAATTAGAAGTAAAGGATGCCCTCTCCATTTGCTCCAGGCATCAGAAAATGTATTAAAATATAACTTACATTATATAAGGTACTAATTAATTTAATATAAAAAGATACTCATTTTGCTAACTCAATATTCAGCACAGTTAATTTTATGAAATATTTATTATTTTTCATCAATATAAATATTTAAATCAAGTATTTAATTTATTTTTTTATTATTATTTTTCATCAATATAAATATTTAAATCAAGTATTTAATTTAAATTTTTTTGAGGAGAGCGTTGTTAGAAAAATACCTCATGTTTGGTTGGGGCAAAAGTTTTGGAAAATGTTTTCCAAATCAACTTATTTTCCTCAAAATTAAGGAAAATGACTTCCCTTAAAAAATTAAGGAAAACATTTTCCAAAGCTCTCCTCCAATTTCAAATTACAATTTTTTTTTTGGAAAAACATCAATTTTAAAAAAATATAAATATTTTCAATTTCAAAATTTTATTTTTTCACCCGATCTCTGACCACCCATCCCCCTAGCCACCCTCACCCAACCCCACCCCTTCCCCAAAAAATTAATTTTGTTTTTTAATAATTTTTTTAACTTCAAATTTTATTTTTAAACTCCTACCTCCCCCGGCCAGCCCCCCTACCCACCCCTACCAGCCCCTCCCAACCTCAACCCCAACCCCAATCTGCCAAAAAAATTAATTTTGCTTTTTTAAAATACTATCAACTTCAAATTTTTATTTCTTCACTCCTACCCCCTCCTCCTGCCTCCCCTCACTACCCCCACCCCCACCACCCCACCCCAAAAAAATTGTTTTTAAAAAATATTTTCAATTTCATAAATTATTTTCTACTCTAGTAAAAATAAAAGATGTTCCTCAAAAATATTTTTCATTCATAAATCAAACACTAAAAATCATTTTGAAAAATATTTTCTACTCACCAACCAAACATGAGAAAATAAGTCAAAAATCTACTTGTTTTCCAAGAAAACATTTTCTAGGAAAACATTTTCCTTCAGACCAAACACACTCTAAATTGTGAGTTCAACAGAAGCTTAATTAATGCCAAATGTATGAGGCACGTAATAATTGGAGAAATCTTTTTAGTCATATTATGTTATTTTATTTTTAAAATATTTTTATCCTTTAACTTTAATATATCTTTTAATTAAAAATACTCTTTAAATTTCTAATCAAATTTTGGCCAAATTTTCCAGTTAGCAAAAGTGATTAGGGTGAGTTCAGTTCTAATTTTATCATATTTGATTGATTAATTTTTTTAAAAGAAAATATTTATTCTGATAAAACAAGTTATTTGATAATGTGTAAAATGATTTTCTTAATGGATGATATTTCATATTAATTGTATCTTCTTCACCCTTCAACCCACTTCATCTTTACCTCCATTTTTGTAGCCGTAGCCCCAGGTTTTAGGTATCAAACACAGATAACCCACACTAAACAAGTCCAGTGCGACAAGCTTAACTCAAAAGGCGAACCCCTTGTTTTCGCTGACAGGGGATTTCGAACTTTACCTCCAACATGAAAGTTCCAACCCCGGAGGGTAGAAAATTATCATATATTTGTTAGAATAAGAGGTCATTTTCTTGTTTCAGATTCACGGGTTCACTTAATAAGGTGGAGAAGGGGGGAAGGCCCACATTGATAGACAGTCTCAATCCTAAGATTATAGTTGCAGCAACAAAGGAGTGGCAGAAATTGAACAACAAATGTTGGGGTTCACCCAAAATCCTCCTAGGAACCATCACCACATATTGCAAAATCAGCACCAAAATCTAAAATCAGATGTACAGCAACCTTCCTTTTATCTGTAATAATGAACTTGGAGAAACATAAGGGCAACCCTTATCCCAAAACTAGTGTATTTCTGCGACAATATACTCGTATTGACTCTCACAAAACATCAAATTGCAGATATAAGCCAGGTTCTATAGCAAAATAAGTGAGAATATGCAGCAGCTCGTTGCACTTGAGGAAAATCTGATATATGAAAACTTTGTTCTTACTTCTTAGACCATTTGGTTTTCACATTGCTGGTTAAGGTCAAGTATAGGGTGATTCTACATCGATAAGGTCCCACTTATCTTCATCAGATTTATAACCCTCATCCTTCAAAGTTTCTGGTGTATCCCCTAGTAAAGCTTTTGGTTGAGGCCTTCTGCAGATCCAAAGGGAGAGCTTCGTTAGACATTAACAATTGTTAGTCTGGTATCCATGTGACTCAATGAGAACACTTAAAATGAGCTATCAAAAATGAAGGCAAAAGTTAGCAAGGACAAACTCAATAACTCAAGTGTTCAAGATCTGTCATCTGACAAACTGAATGAACTAAAATGTTTTTTTAGATTAAAGAAAAATAAACTAAATGTAGGTTATTATTCCCAAAGACGTTCATTTTATATCACGCTCCTCACCGCCATTGGATGGGCCTAATCTTACCCTCCATTTATTACTTCCATATCAATACAACATAAGGCAACCCATTTGTTGCTGACCACAAATTCCGCAAAGCCATCCCTCTCACTTTAGGGACCTGAGCTAAATAAACCAGTATATTTTGGATAGGAAAGACGTCAACACACCACAAGCCTAAACCTCCCAAGAACCAGAAAACCTTGTGATCCAGCAGTTGATAATAAACAGGAGGGAATCAAATAAGACTAGATATAATTATGCACCAACATCAATGTGCAACCACAAATGCAAGTTCAGTTATATTGCTCAAAAATGTTAGCACCATCGGATTAAAATGCCTGTCATCATTTGGGAGTTTTCTAAGTGCTCCCATCTTCATCATTCTAATTCCTCTCCAATACCCTATGTTTTAAGTTTTGTCCATAAAGTCTGTTTCCAGGTGAAAGGTACCACTTGTGTCAGCCTCTGCTACTTTTGCAACAAGAGGTCCAACATCTTCAAATTTATTTCCACTAAATATGAAGAAAAAAGTAACTATTGCATATAATTTCAACAAATAAAAGAAAGCTAAATAGGAGGGTGGAAGATGTTTGCACACCCCTAGAGTCCGAGCAACATAGCATGCAGGTATAATGTTCAAAAATGCTAACCACATTATCAATACTAACTGAAAAGACCTTTCTTTAGACCGTACCAAATCCATTCCTTTGTTCTTAATGATGAAATCAAATCCGCTCCTTTGTTCTTAATGATGAAAAAAAATATAATGTTTCTCCCATCCTGCTTTATGAGATATCATTTGATTGGACATGGAGTTCTCTACTGGTTCAAACATTGTGCCTATATGAGAGAGATCAAGGAAGGGGAAACAACAAAGATTTCACAAATTGATTTTACCAATCTGACGTATTTTTCTACTTCTCATTCAATGAGAAAAAATCGGCAATGGTCGAGTTTTATAGGATCAGAGTTGAGGTACCTGAGAAATTCACATTTTGGCTCAGTCTGGTCTAAATCCATGAATATTAATACATAAAAGACTATTTTCCATGTATGTATCCATGCTATACTCACAAGCTTTATTGATCAGAACTCATGCAGAATCTCTAGCAAACATACCGGCTATATATTTGGTTAACTGTCTACAAACAATGGACTTCTTTTTGCTCTACTTAGAGCATACAAAAAAATAAATGACTTATATTATCCAATTCACTTTTCCGCTTTTACTCTACAACCAACAACGAAAGTGACTGTTATAATATGATGTGAAAGAATAAGATATTGCCACAAACTTAGTTTAAAAGGAAAAAGTCTCATATGGAAAATACAAGGGGCTCAGCTACACTATCTCATTCTTCTTTATTCTAACCTCAAAATAACTTTTGCACCTATGAAGTTGCTTTTTATAATTTTAATGTGATACATTGAACTCCTCCTTTGAAAAAATTGAATAAACCACACAACTTCAAAACTTTCAACAAATGCAGCAATAGAGAAATAAAACCATATTACTGAATACTGACACAATACTTATGGTGGAATATGTACATTTATCTATCCATTCTCTTGAAATCAGAGAACGTTTGAGAAAGGATCTTAAGGTGTCTCCTGTCTACTATTTGGTAAGGAGGGTTTCCTTAACGCCTTCTTTTTCCTTCTCGCTATAGTTCCTTCACAAAATCTTAACTGGTTGAACTATGTTTCTTTCTGAAAGTTAATAAAATACACAAAGATAAGTGTAGCTAAGTCAGCTCACTTTTCCTATTCCTATACAAAATACAAGCTCAGCGCACTCAATAATGTCATTGTTCTCATGTCACAAAAGGCATAAAATCTATACCAATTTACGTATCATTCTTTCTGAAATGAGCAAAATCAAGGAATAAAACAATAAATGAGGAAAAGCAAAAAAATCGATACAAACCTTTTGCGGTTTCGTCTGGCAGCATCACGACACTTCCTTTTCTTCTTTTCTTGAGTAGATTCAAAAAATCTTCGGCGTTTACTCTCTTGGATAACTCCAGCTCTGAACACCTCTCTGCGGAAGCGGCCAATGAGTTTCTCTTCCGGCTCGTGTTCCCCAGCTACAACCTGAACATTATATGCTGATTTAAAGAAGAGAATATTGGAAAATGGAAGTGAAGGAAACAGATGAGCGTAATCAGAGCTGTGATGGTCGAGTTTCAGAATTGGAGTTACAGGTAACGATGTAGACGAAACACATAAAGGTACGGCACGAACAGTACTGATTTGTGCAGTTTTTGGACGAAAATTTGCAGTGTTCTGGTTGTTGGAAGAAGAAAGCAAAGGGTTGAAGAAGGATGATGACTGAAAAAGGGCCATTGATGTAGAACCTTCGGAGGTTTAAGAAGAATGAGCTTTGGGGTTCTTACATCGCTAGTTCATTCGATTAGGGCAATTAATTAGTTTAATTTTGAATTTTGATGTACTGCTATTGACTAATGGTGACCTTCTACCCGTTCGACTATAATTATCTATTATATTATTTTGAGAAGTGTATGTATAATTATTAATTTATTTTATGAAATTAATAAATAATTTTATATTTAATTTTATCATAGATTAGTGATATTTATCTATTATATTTGTTAAAATATTATATTTAACAATATGATATAATAAACTCTTTTGGTTAGAGTTTAAGAAGTGCGCAATTTCAATAATAAACAACTTAGACAAGGAAGGAGTATAAAACAAGAATTGCATGTATAGTGCTTGATATACGTGAAAAATAAGTTATAAAGGGTTTCCGAATAAATATATCTTGAATTATCATAAATGGTATGCAGATATTTTTCGTCATATTTTGAGATATTAGTGCCCTTTAATCCAAAAAGACTAGAGCATATATATAATTTACTAACGGACATACATATGTCATAATCAAATCCACTGATCCACATTTATTAAATATCGAATCGACAAATAAAATTATGTCATGCCCTACTTTTTGAGCCCAATTGTGTCATTTAGTAACCCTCTTTAGCTTTTTTTATGCGACTATAAAATATTTTACGCTTTGTTTGGCAATATTAACAGTTCTTTTTGTATGGTTATTTTACCCTTTTACATAATTACCATTTATGTTATGTTCAAGTATAACAAATTATTAAGGCCAAAGTCATATGCGGCCACTCAAACTTGTCCCGATTATTCATTTAGACACCTGAACTAGGACTTATACCTATTGAACACCTAAATTATCAAGAAATGTGGCTATTAAAA